TGGGGACTTACTGGGGGTGATGGGATCCTCATGGCCACCCACATCCCACAAGACAGCAGGTACAAAGTGAAGGTCGTTCACACGGGCACAGATTTAGGTGTCTGATAATGAATTTCTTTTTAGGGGAGGGAAAGAAATGTGTGCCACGGTTTTGCTCTCTTTCCTAAAAATAAACACAGGAAGAAAAAGAGGATTCAGACAAAAAGACCTTGCAGGATTATCAACCCTCACCAAGCAGAAAGCCTGACAGGCCCCGATAACTTGTCTCATAGGTTCAATGGTAAACTTGACAAGAAAAAAGATTTGTTTTTAACTTCCTTCTCAGATTTATGAAGCTTCAGATTTGCCTACGATCTACAAAGCAAAAACTTCGTAGATTGTTGGCAAATCTACAAAGCTAAAAACCTCTATAAAAAATCAAAACTGAAATACCTGCATGACTTTAGAGGGTGGCGATTTATGAAAAAAAAATGTTTTTGATCAGAGTGCAGGAGAGTTCTGTGGTGAAAGGCATACGACATTTACATTTTCCTCTGCAAAGGCCTCCCTGCAAACTGTAGGAAAACCCTCTGACTGAACCCTTCAGACTCAGTTATAAGCTCTCAGGAAAGCAGCTAATCCAAAAAAATCACAAGTGTAAAAACTCATATGTCTTGTTTGTAAAAAAAAAGTGCAAAATTAGCCAATAAACACTGTCTTGCTGTTAAAAATCAGAGTACTCAGAGATGTGACCTCTCCTGCAAGGTTATCCAAATGCAGTGCCCTCTGCACAGGTCACCTGAATGGCTCATGGGCACAAAGCCCAGCTGTGACAGCCTGGGCGAGAAGGGGACCTGGACACCACTCAGTGTGACACCAGCGTGGGTTGGGAGAGGAAGATCACCAGGAGATGCCTTGCTGAGGGAAATTAGGTATCCCAATGGAATGGGGCCGCTTTTGCTGTCACAGAGTGCATTTCTGAATCCACTGCTCCTCCCTGCTGGCTCAGCTAAACCCGATGCACCTCTTCCTTTCCCCCATGCAGGCAGACCCCGAGCAGCTGCATCTGCTTCCAAGAAGCCCTAAATCAGCAGCACATTGGCAAAACCTTCGGTGGAAAAATCTAAGTCATAGAATCATAGAATTGTCCAGGCCGGAAGGGACCTCCAAAGGTCATCTAGTCCAACCTCCCCGCAGTCAGCAGGGACACCCCCAACTAGACCAGGTTGCCCAGGGCCTCGTCGAGCCTCTCCTTGAATATCTCCAGGGATGGGGCCTCAACCACCTCCCTGGGCAACCCGGCCCAGTGCTCCACCAGCCTCACAGTAAAGAACTTTCTCCTAATCTCCATTCTAAACCTGCTCCCCTCCAGCTTAAAGCCATTGCCCCTCGTCCTGTCACTGCAGGCCTTTCTAAACAGGCTCTCCCCAGCCTTCCTGTAGGCCCCTTCAGGTACTGGAAGGCTGCTGTTAGGGGTCCCCTGAGCCTCCTCTTCTCCAGGCTGAACAACCCCAGCTCCCTCAGCCTGTCCTCGTAGCAGAGGTGCTCCAACCCCCTGATCATCCTCGTGGCCCTCCTCTGGACCCCTTTCATCAGGTCCATATCTTTCCTATATTGAGGTCTCCAGACCTGCACACAAGACTCCAGGTGAGGTCTCACCAGAGCAAAGTAAAGCGGCAGAATCAGTAGTTGCCAGTGAGAGGACAAGGGGCAATGGGCACAAGTTGGAACATAAAGGGTTCCACTTGAATATGAGGAAGAACTTTTTCACGGTGAGGGTGACGGAGCCCTGGAACAGGCTGCCCAGGGAGGGTGTGGAGTCCCCTTCTTTGGAGATTTTCAAGACCCACCTGGATGCAGTCCTGAGTAACATGCTCTGACAAGCTGTGCGTGGTCCTGCTTTGGCAGGGGAGTTGGACTAGATGATCTCTATGGTCCCTTCCAACTCTAAAAATTCAGTGAAATTCAGTGAAAATCACCGCTCTGGACCTGCTGGCAATGCATCTTTTGATGCAGCCCAGGATGTGATTGGCCTTCTTCCCACACCGAGCAGAAGTAGCCCTTACAAGGAAGTACATTGCTTTTATGGCCCACAGGGAAAAATAATCTTTCTGTTGGTAAAGAACATCTCTGAGACCTTGCAGCATTGATCCTCATCTAATTGTTTTGCACCGTGGCATCGATACACGCGGCGTAACCGCACTGCCAGGGGCTGCAGGAACACACTGAGCTGCACTGCAAATACACCTTCTGCAAATCAGGCCTTCCTATGTAAATGCATTGCACACCTAAAGGAGATCAGGTATTTTAAAAAAAAATTCACCACAAGTGCTAAATTCTGGCACAAAGAATCCACCCACCACCTTTGAATTTCCCACGTGTTACAATTTTTACCCAGACTGGGCCTTTTTAGCAGAACTACACAGGAGACTTTCTGGAAACGTGGCATTTTCAAGAGCTCAACCAACTGCAGAGGAAGTTTGGAATGCCAAGTGCCAAGTTTTGATCTTTAGTTATAGTTCTGACTTTTGATAAAGGAGTTTGAGTTAGAGGGCCTACATAAAAAGAAATCACATGCTATTAGGATGTAATCACAGAATCTTCTAGGTTGGAAGGCACCTTAAAGATCATCTTGTCCAACTGTCAACCTAATTTTGACAAAAATAAAAAATGTAAATATCTTATATATGAAACATTATTATGAATGGTTTATGGTCCAAAGTATGAGTTGGTACCAATGTTGGTATTCGCTTCGCTATGTGCAGGATTTCAGTGGTTTGTACCAGCTATTTTAGCCCGTTCTCAGCCATAGAAGGTTTTGGCCTTAATGAGAGATTAATTTTTCCTCTTGAAAATGCCAATGTGTTGGATGTGGGGTTCTGCACAAGTGCCAGTTGCAGTGACGCCTGGTGTTTTCTCAGGGTGGGGATGGATCTGCTGGAGGGGAAGGGAGGCAGCGAAGGCGCCTAACTGGGAACTGGGAACTGAGGTGCCTGTGCTGGACTGGGACGAGCAGGGACCTGAACATCTTTCTGAGTGAGATTTGGGAAAAGGAGTTCTCAGCTGATTCAGCTGTTGGAAGGAGCTAAGAGGAGAGACGGGAGGAAAGGAGCATGCAAGGGATGGCATTATTACTACCATTTCTTAGTGGGGAGAGAAGAAAAAAAAACCTTCTACTTCCAACCCAAAACCAAAAAGCAGAAAAGTCAAAATTCCTCAGAAACAGTCCTTCCTCTGGCTGGGTTTAGCGACAACTTGCCTTAGTGAATGCAAGAGGTCAATTAACAAAGATTAATTTGCTGCCTCTCAACCTAATAAAGGCAAAGCACCTGCCTGCCCTTCCTTGCTGACAGGTCCCAGGTTTAGGCAGCGCATTCAGCGGATCCCCCTCGCTGTGCTAAACCAAACCAAAACCAATTTCCAGGGCCTTCAGCACAACATCACCATCCTTCGCTGTCATTATATGGTCTTTACCACCTTCCTTGTGCCCCTGTCCCAGGGGTCTTAGGGATTTATGCCAGCCCCTCCTATGAGTTCACACCTAATGTGGATGCCCTGTCCTTCCTACACTGGCTCTCAGCACATCTAGCTTGTCAGCCTTACTGCTTTTTGGTACTTAATTACGATGTTTGCTTTGCATTTATTGTACTGGGCTGTGCTGTCATTGCTTAGATAAAACCAGCTAGTGGTCCCCAGGCCTCCTGGAGGAACGCTGCTGCAGGAAATGAATGAATGCACTGTTTTCCCCAGCACGGAGCAAACACACTGCTCCTGTGGTGACAAACTTCTAGCCTTCCTTGGCTGCAGCACTGGTGAAAAAATCCTGCCTGGCATATGTGTGTGAAGAGGTGGGCATTGAACCCATTGATGAATAATAGCTCTGCCTGAAGGACCAAATGGTAGGATGCGAAAGAGTGTGTGGCTCCCACCCGGCGCTTTACTTTTTGCTGTCATTCTCATCATCTGGCAAATCCCTTGACCCAAACTTGAGAAGTCAATAACATTCAAACAGGGAAACTTGCTACTTTCCACTGGACAAACTTCAATTGTCTCAGAGGCTTCCCAGTTCAACAACAAACACTTAAAGCAAAAAAAAAAACAGTAGCACTGTATCTCTTTCTTTGATGGTGAAGACCAGGATTCTTGAGATCTGAAGTGCCTGCTCTGGCTTGACAAATAGCCAGCGCTGGTGGATGTTTAAAGCAGGCAGATTAGAAAGACAGGCAAGAGGGTGAATGATTTTGGTGCTGTGGAGTACAGACTGTAGTTTGCAATAGGCATCGCTACCACCAGTAGAGAGAAACACAAGCCAACTTTTCCCTGAAGTCACTGTTGAGACTTCCAGTGTGACTCCTTTTCTGTCGCGTTACATTATCTGCCCATGCTGTGAAACTCAATAATTACTCTGCAGGCACTTACGAAGACATACTTGTCGAAACAAATGATAGGGCATGAGGTAATTGTTAGGCACAGGCTGGAAACCAGCAAGCTCATCTCATGAAGGAAACAAACCACAACACTGTCACTTTTCTAGTAAAAAATATTTCCATATTAAAATTGCACAAGGAGAACAGACTGAGCAATTTTTCAGGGAGAAAGGAAATGGTTCTTGGAAAGAAAATTCTCTTCTGCTACAGAAAGGATATTACTTGGTCTCTTAGGCGCCGATAGATCAGTTTTACCAATGGGAAATCCAAATGTTTGAGATTAGCAAGGGTGTTTTCCACTCAAAAGTCATGTCCACAGAAAATCCCTATCTGGACATTGTATAAACTGACATGGAATCTGACCATTGTCAACTAAAACCTAAAAAAACCTATTTTGTAGACTCCTCCCTCAGCAAACTGTCTCACAGGCCCACAACCACACATCAAGGTGGGGAACACACTACCCTGTTTAACCACCTCCCACTACCCATCTTGCCCACATTTGGGTCTTGGTGAACTTTCCTTGCCAGCATGAAGTGATGGCCACTCCGTGGATGCAAAGCTCTGAGTTAGCAGGAGATGTTTTAACATTACCTCATGAGACAGGTAGAAGGCAGCAATTCCCAATGGCCAGAAGCAGCAGAGCATGGAGAACACAGTGAGGCCGAGATGATCTCTTGGTGGCATCATCAGGAAATTGTCTTCACTTTCAGTGTCACTTGAGTAATCGCTCTGGAATAGCAAGGGAGAGAGAAATGTAAAGGTGCTGGTTAATGATAGCACTGTTTCTCCACTGCCATGGGCCAAGGCTGTGATCTTCTGCTCATAAAACTCCGCCCGGTCATACCAGGGTAATTCCTCAACATCAACACACCAGCACTCGTTGTAGAAGGCTTCTGGTGACCCACCCTGGGGTCTCGACCATGCAGGGGACTCCAGTCAGGGACAGCTCTAGGGGTACCTGTACCCTGCTCATCAGAGCCCAATGCACTCGTCCTGCTCTGCTGTGGCCCCACAGCGATGGGACCACAGGAGTTAGCCTGCTCTCCTGTAGCATCCACACCAGCCAGTAGCATCCTTCAGGAGGACTTTGGGATTGGGACTGCAGCTGTGGCACATCTCCAGCCCTGCCCTGCCGAAAGGCTCACCAGGGCATGAGCCCCCTCTTTAGCAGCACCCCAAGGAGAGGCTGAGACCCAAACCCTTACGTCTGCACCAGAATGCAACAGGGGAGAAGCATGAGCACAGCTCAGAGGCAGGGTTATCTCCACAAGTTGCAGGCTCAGACTGAAACCAATGTTTGAGGAAGCCACCCCAGCCAGCATCACAAAGTCAGCACTCTTTCTCTCCTACTGCATGCTCAGCACCGGCTACCAGGTGTCCTCCTTGACCAACACCAGGGCAACCTCTACCTACTGACTATGTCGCAGCCTCCATCACTGTTGCATGAACTTGAAAGCAAGAAGACAGTACAGGATAAAGCAGTTTCACAATCTCAGTCTTAGTTTATCCACAACCTTTTTGTAGCTGTTCTGAGGGAGAGGTGACCTCAGGAGCGCAGGCAAAACTGGAGTTACCAGGAGATCAGGCCCCAGAGGACATGTCCCCAGAGAATGGAAAGCACAGCTCCCTGGCCAGATAAATGTTGATTACAGTGAATGACAAAGAAAGCAAGCAGCTTTTCCTTTTCCTTGTCCTTTCCCCCTTCCCTTCCCTTTTCCCCTTCCCTTTTCCCCTTCCTTTCCCTTCCCTTCCCTTCCCTTTTCTCTGCAGCCCTAAAACTCGTTCCCTTCCCTTCCCTTCCCTTCCCTTCCCTTCCCTTTTCTCTACAGCCCTAAAACTCATTAGGCACAAGTGATGTGGACAGGACATAAATCAGATTTCTGCAGAAACTGTGGATGTGACAAAGGCTGAAGAGGACAAATGAACTTCTTGGGAGAAAGGAGGTGTCTACTTCCCAGACACAGAAGCTGGAATCTGAGCACTGGACAGTTCAGCAGGAAACCTTGGCCTCTTCATTCAAGGGAGCTGCTTCTGACACTTCCCAAATGACCTGTGCAAGAAGCCAGCCTTGAACATAACTGCAAATGTGGCCACCCTGGAGAATGACAGGGTGAAGCTGAAACATCGATGAGTTTTAGCCCGTGAAATCCAACCAGCTGCTTCAGTCAATAGTAATGCTTCCTCAGCAAATGGGCGCAGAAAGGAGGGGAGAGGGAAGAGGATATTTAAGGAGGGATACTGAATCATGTAGACGCCTCATTCCTGAAGGGACCATGGCTTTGGGAGCAGGAACCACCCAGCACAGAGCAAGGCTAGCTGTACACGGAGCTGCATGCAGGGTGTACGCCCTGGACTGTGTTTCAAGAGGCAGCGACCCTGAGAAAACCACTAGACTAGAGTGTTTAGTCAAGAGCAAGCTAAAAATAAACCTCCTCTGGGATGCACCATACACAGTGGATACGGTCCATGGAGAGAGAAAGAAGGGTACGGTACTATAGACACGTACATACTGGGTCCAGTTCTGCCACCGCTCTTTCCCAAGTATGTTGGAGAAATCAGGAATTCTGATTTCAGGCAGGTACATTCATCACGCCACAAAAAAATCAGGAAGAAAGTAGAGAGGCCAGCTTCACTTGTAAGATAAATTTAAGATGCAATTTCATCACAGTCTGTAAGTGCCTGCATGAGTAGATAATTTCCGATCAGAGACAGCTCTTTCATTTGGCAGAAAAGCAGAAGAAACCCCAGCGACTGAAAGCAGAACAGATGAAGAGCAGACACAAGGTGCAGATTTTTAAAAGAGATGGTGATGACACTTCTCTGCAGTTGCAATGGATTTTCTATTACACAAAGCCCTTGCTTAAATTGAGGCTAGCTGTCCCTAAGAGCTATGTGCTTTACTGCAACCAAGACATTATGAGTGAACAGAGGCTCTGCAGACAGCAGTTGGGTTTGGTTGGTTTTTGGTTTTTGTTTGGTGGTTGGTTTGGGTTTTTTTTTGTGGTTGGACTCGATGATCTCAAAGGTCCCTTCCAACCATGAGGATTCTGTGATTCTGCAACTGCAAAACTCAAAACGGTGAAAAGAAATAAATAACCAACCAAGCAAATAAATAAATAATGCGTCACCAGGACAAAGAACCCATGACAGCAACAGGTTTTAGAGACATCACCTCTTAAGTAAGCATCAGCCAGATGCCATGCAGTGAGGAGTAAGTGCGTTGAGGCAGAACAACGATAAACTACAGCCCTCGGTGGGAGAGCCACCATCCAGCACACTGTCTTCGCCATCTGCTGTGTTTAGGTGACCTCAGATTGCTTGGAGAAGAGTGGAGGGATGCAGAGTGCTTGGTCAGAATAGGGCATCATGTTTAACTGCATTAGTGAAACAGGCATTGCATGGAGGGAAGCAGAGCACATATTATCTTACAGTTGCATCGTGTGTTGGTCTTTGTCAAAATCAGATCACTGGACCATCTGGATTTGAAGCAGATCCCACAGGGCCATCCCAGAAATTAGGTCTGCATGCAGCCTGTGCCTGTTGCTGAATGGGTTGCTTTGAAGGGAAAAAAGGAGTACTATCAAAAGGGCTATTTCCTGAATATCCATCAAAGGGTGCTGGCAGCTGGGGTTCATGGCAGACTTCGTCTGACCTCTCCAGTGTGCCTGGTGTCTTAATCGCTGAATCACAGAATCTTCATAGTGGGAAGGGACCTTTGAGATCATTGAGTCCAACCACAAAAAAACCAAAACAAAAACAACAAAAAAAATCCACAAACAAACAAAAAGTCCAAACATCACACCCACAGACAGACACAAACCCAACAATCCCGGGCACTAGACCATGCCCTGAAGTGCCACGTCTACACGGTTCTTAAACACCTCCAGAGATGGTGACTCCACCACCTCCCTGGGCAGGCTGTTCCAGTGCCTGACCACCCTCTCAGGAAAGTCATTCTTCCCAATATCTCATCTAAATCTCTCCTGCCACAACCTCAGACCATTTCCTCTGGTCCTGACCTTATTCCCTTGGGAGAAGAGGCCAACCCCCACCTCTCTACACCCTCCTTTCAGGGAGCTGTAGAGGGCAATGAGGTCTCCCTTCAGCCTCCACTTCTCCAAACTAAACATGTCCAGTTGCTTCCCTTCAATCTTAAAGGTATTTAAATGAGACATAATCCACTAACCCTGACCTGGTCCGAGCTCCTCCTCTTGTTTCCCCAACTCCCAGTCTAAATTCCTTCATCAGTCAAGCAGCCAGCCATCTAGAATGGGCTCAGAGAGGTTTCTCCTTGCTTGGAAAGCTTTTCATATGTAACCTCAGAAAACAAGAAGGTATAAGGGGCAACCCCCCCCGGATGCAGCTGTCCAAGCCCATTCTACCTCCTGTCCCCCTGAATTTTGATCATCTCCCTTGCGACGTTTTCTAGACACCCACAGCCACAGTTAGCCATCTGTAACTTGCATCCAAGACGTTGCCACTGGAAGGGGATGACTGCAACCAGCAAAAAACAGATCCAAAGTAAAACAGGCCAGCTGCTAAGGCCTCCTAAATCACGCTCTTACTCTGGGAGAGCAGTAATCACAGCCATAAAGTAAATATCCCTAATCTCTGTGTGAGTGACAGGGGCTCCCAGCAACCCTGTGCCTTCATGGAGAAGGCACATGTGTCTCTTGGCACGCTCACACCTTTGCAGGTGGGCCAGTGGTCACCGCAGAGTAGTGGCTCTCTGCAGCTCATGCTGTCACCCTGTTGAGAAGGGTGAAGGTGCAGTGAATGCCATGCAAATAATCCATGTTCTTCCTCGTGGCATGGGGCATCACTTTAGGGCCCCCCACTCAGGAAGACCTCTACTGTCTGCAGACACAGGTTCCTGCCAGGAGAAGAGCCAGTGGTCCCTGCAGAAGAGACGGTCTCAACACTGCCTGTTGAGGAAGACTGGGGGAGATAGCCCTCTTCACTGCCTCACCTCAGCAGGAAGAGTAGCCCTACACAGCTCAAGGCAGGGGGTGACCCTTCATGATTGCCCTCTTCTTGCTTGAAGCTCACCCGGAGCTCATGCCACTGCCAGGCTGGAGCCCAGGGACCTCACTGCGTGGTGTCAGTCTGACAGCTCAGGGAGGTGATGATGAGAAAGGGAATTGCTCTGGGCCCTTGGCTGCTATTAACAAGATTCATAGAAGGACACTTGGAGGCTGCTGAAGGTGATTTCCCAGCCACGCTCCCTTCACCTAGGGCTTGCTAATAAAGGTTAATATCCCTTGGCAGGGCTCAGTATCTCTCGACTCCAGTGGCTTCTCCTTTAAGGGAGAAAAATAAATCAAATGCAAATGAAGTGTAATCACTCTTTTAACCTGTTAACAATGTGCCTGTGAAGGGATCCAGGGACATAAAGTGTGTCCTACAGGGTAAGACCAGTGGTCCTTTTGACAGCAGCAGCAGGACATGACATAAACCTGGACACCTTGCATCCCCTGTGCTCCCCCAGTACCCACAACTGCTGTCTAAGAGATATTAGAAAAAAAAAGCTTTACCAATTCCGTTTGATAGCTGTTTATGGGTTCCTCATCCATGAATCTGTCTATGATTCCCAGCACAATGCAGGACCATATAAGCCTGTGCAAGCTGGCCACATTGAGAGAAAGCAGGCATGTCGTAGGGTTTGATGTGCATAAACCCCCTCCAGGGCCTTCTCTTCACATTTCAGAAGAGACACAGCCAGGAGATGCTTGGGAATGTTGAGAAGAGGGATTGGATGGAACAGAACATGGCTTAGGATCCACCTTCTGTCTCTAGGCTTTTATGCTCACGTCAACGGGATGAGTTTCACAGCAGCATCCAGCAATTTGTAGGGAAAAAAAAAAGAAGGAAGGTTTAGCTTGAAAGCACTACATTTCCTTTTTTCTTTCACTCCCCAGAACATTCTATTTATTTCATTTTCAGAGACTGTTTCAGACGTTGCTGGGAAAGAGAAAAAGGGTTTTAAGAGAGAGCTCAGATGTATTCTTTTATGCGACACATATGAATAATTCAATTTGCTACCATCAATAGCTTGTGTTTCGCTAAATAAGCCATCTATCTAGGGGTTAGGAGGAAAACTAGCAGGAGTGTAATATGACAAATGATGTTTCTGGATAAAAGATGGCATTGCATCTACACACGAACTCTAACATGGGGGTATTTCAGCTAGCAACTCACGTAATATTTCACTGCCGCCACCTTTGACAAGTTGTCTGTCCATTAGGCATAAAGAGCTCATACGATATTTATACACATTCCAGAGATACCTAAATAGGGAATCATTTGATTTCAGGGATGGGCACCGAAAAGAGAAGTTTAAAGCTTTGACAGAACGCGCAGCCTTCTGCTTTTGTGCCTGGTAATTGCCAGAGCAATGTGGGGCTGTATATGCTAATGAGAGCTGTTTCAGAAATGTTTTTCCCTCCAGACAATTATGATTTTCATAGGCAGTCTGAATAACATTACATCAGGACCTGAAAAAAAACTCAACCTGCTCGGAAAAAAAAGAAAAAATAAGTAAGTTTAACACACCCACGGAGTTGCAACAACGTACAGGACCCCTCCATAGGATGTCTCCTGCTCCTCTGCTAGATCTCCCAAGTTCTTCAGAGTTCCCAGGCTTGGGGAGGGTAGAAGGTACCTCCTTCTAGGCAACTGTTCAGAGATATTGGTGAGCTGGGTAGACCCATCCTACAGGGGATTATAGGTACCAGAGCAGCAGCCCCTGCAGCTGGGCTGGGGTCAGCTCTTCAAACCACAACCAAATAGCCCTCAGCCAAAATACCTGGTGTTTTTTCAGAAGCTTTCTCTGCAGCAAAGTTTTCTGCAGGAAAACAGCAATCCTTCTGGTTATCAAGAGACCAATTCTCTTCTAAAGCAACACCCTGGCAGAAACATACTGCCCAGCAGCGTGTCCACAAAAGCTGTTCTCTCCATGTGTCCGTGGACTCCTGCAAGTATCGCATGGAGAGGACCACCACAAAGGTGTGGTGCATGACATTTTTCTGCATTTCTGAGAAACTTAAATGCCCAGTCCTGAAAACCCCCTAAGCAGGTGCTTTGCAAGAACACAGGAGGTACTGGAGCAAGGTGGAAGAGGCCAGAAAGGAGACAATTCACAACCCCCCAGGGCTGTCCTGTCTCCCAGAAGGCATTTTGCTGAGATGCCCCAGTTGGGAATCCACTTGCCTTTCCCTGCCACAATGAGAACAGGCCCCCCAGTTCTCAAGAGACAACAGCTTTTCTGCACAAAGCTCCCCTCTTTGCCAATGTTTTCCAAAAGGGGCTGTTTTTAAATTTTTATTTCCCAGGAAGAAGTGCCAAAGCAGACCAAAAAAAACAAAAACAAAAACCCTTACAAGAACTGAGCCCTGATCTGCTCTCATGCTGTGCAGCTCCCATCCCTCGATGAGCTGTGGTGTGAGAGTGAATGTGGCAACATACTCAGCGACGTGCCCTGCATCCTCCATGGCAGAATCAAGTCCTCCAAGGCTTCTCCCAGTGGGGAAGCAAAAACCTGGCACCTCCGCCGTATGGTCCTCTCTCACTGTTCTTGTTTTAACTTCTCCTCCCTTTCCACCCTGCTCGGGCTCTACCAGTAATTTAAAAAAAACCATTCGCTTCTTGTCAGTAACTAGTGAAAAAAGAAAAAAAAAAAAAAAAAGCTTTCCAGTGGGCCAGACTCGTGCTGTGTTATTCAGGTGCTGTTTTTTCTCGTTTGGACAGATCGGCAGGTTTTTATATAGTTAACACAATCTGGCATCATTCCTTCCCCTACTCTGTGCCTGCTGTCCTCAAATACTTTTCTTCCATTCCCAGTGTCTCAACAAACACGTGAAGCTACGTCTGTGGTGAACGGCCCTCGTGCATCTGGCCACACGGATACAGCATCTTTCCAGGTGGGAACCAGAAGAGCACAACACGGCAGCCACCTTTTTTTTTTTTTTTTTTTTTTTTTGCTGGTTCTCGCATCTCTGCTCTCCTCCCTGTCTTTCTGCTCTACCAGATGCATCCCACAAGCATCTGGACCTGCTGGGATGCTGCCAGTTACTCCCCGTGCTGAGACCCCTCGCGCTCAGTGCAGTTGCTCAGCAGGTCAGTGCTTTGGGACAAAAATCACAGCGCCGCAAAGGGCTGGCCAAGGAGCACCACAATGGAGGCTGATACTAGGCTAGAAGCAGAGGCTTCTAGCAATTCTAGTCATGCCTCATTTCCTCCTCCCTTTCTCCACACGCCTCTCCATTTATGAGCACAGTAGCACCCAGAGGGTTTAAGCGAGGCTGGGAATCCGTGGTGCCAGGTGCAGTCCACCCATTTAAGAAAAGACACCAGGGAAAGCAATGTACAGAGTCACAGCATGGTACCAAAATTTGCAAAGACTCTCTCTTTTCTCCCCTCGAGATCTGGGAAGGGGAAGGATTGGAGTCACCTTCCCCAGACCTTCAGTTTTACAGGTGGTTTTCTAGAAACACATGTTCTCCATGAGAGCTGATCAAGCTCCAAGCTCCTACCGCTTTGAAGAGACACCTTGATCAAGGGCCCAACATTGCAAAGGCACCTTAAAAATCCCACCAAGAAAAGGGATCTTTCCTTGTCCTGCATATTATGCTGGTCTTTTTTAGCCTGTCTTCCAACAGCTGGCTAAAGAATGTCTTGCTGTATTTGGATTGACATTTTGGTGTCTAAATGTGAGGGTGGATGTGTCAATAACACCATTAGGCAATTACATGCCCGCTGCGGTCCCTTCCATTACTGCTGCAGGAGAGAAAGCAGGGCAAAAAGGCAGCAACTAGGGATTTTGTTTTGATTAAGAAAACGAGACTTCCTGTAGCCAGTTCTGAAATGCTGTGGAAGGGTGTGATTTGAGCCAACACCCTCACATGCCTCAGAGAGAAACTTTTTGTCTCCCTGCGGAGGCATTCAATACAGCATCGCTGGCACACACTGGGAAAAACACCTCTCTCTCCCTACCTTATCAGGACAGAGAGAAAAGAGAATAAAAGAGAACTTGGGCTCTCGTTGGGTTGCCCCTGCGCTCGTCACGGGGTGAGACACTGGTATTACAAGGAGGTGAAAATAGAAGTGTTAGGACTTGTTAGGTCTCGGTGGAGAAAACTCCTGCGACAGAGAAACGCAAGAAAATAGTCTCTCCATCTCGTTATGGACACGGGAGTTGAAGTTATGCCTTTGCCTCCAGACAGCTCCACAGCCTTTGCTGGGTTAGGAGTCTGTGTCCAACACTGGAGAAGGTTTTGGGACCAGCAGGATTACGCACCCCCTCCATTCCCACACACACTGGCAAACACAAATCTGTGCTGCGTTTGGGCAGCTGGTTTCAGCCAAAAACAAAAAGGTTTTTTAAAGTAAAAAAAAATGCATCGTTTAAGAAAGAATGAAATTGATTTCCATAGTCTTCCCCATTTGGAGAACAAAATGTATCTTACTTTACTGTGAGCGATCAATGAAGCACAAGAATCTAAAAGAAAACATTGCATTTGGGATCTAATGAAGTGTTTCGCTCCCTGAGAAAAAAAAATAATATATATCTTCTATTATTTCAGAGACATGGGATTCGTTGCAGCTTGAAATCCAAAGACTTCTGATTTTGTGTTCATTCACACACAGAAATGTTTTGTGTTTGGGCCAGTATGCAAAACAATCTGCTTTATGCCCAGACCAAGGCAGGAGGAAGTAAGAGATGATGTTGGCCTGCCGAGTATGACAAGCTCTGGGTACATGGACAGATGCTCCTGGCCCTGACCTCACACAGCTTTTAAGCACAGTCTTCTTCAGTTTCTGACCAGCCCATTCAGAGGCAGGAGGGAAATGTTGATCTCCATTAGGAATTTTGCCACTAGTATTCACAGAGCTGGGACTCCACCCAACAAATAAAGATGAGCGATTGCTCACTGATTTGGCCAAAGAAGAGAGTGAGACAGCTGATCCCATGCAGAGCAGCTTCCAAAACAGCTGCTCCCCTGCAGACCAGCTCTTGGAGGCTGTATACTTAAACCCCAAATATGCCCTCCTCCCCCCAGACTTCCTCACGCATCCCCAACAACATCTGACCTCTAGCTCCTGGAAATCCTCCTCTTCCTCCACATCGTAGGAGAGGGTGTGAATCTTGATGTCATCCGCCGAGAGATCGATGAACTTGCTGTCCGGGTACTCCAGGCTGTCTTTGGTGGGAGAGCGGTCCTCGATGAAGGTGGTTTCACAGCACTCCGAGCCAATGCTCTCACCCCACGAGCGGAGCACGTTCTCCGAGTAGAGGATGATGTTGGGCCGGTAGTGAGACTCCACCGTCTGCTGCAGCATGTTGGGGTCCAGGAGCTGCTGGACGGGGTCGTTCCTGCCGTTCTCCAGGCAGCTGGGAGAGGAAAGGCTGCCAGGTCGGTGGCTCTGGTACTGGGGGGTTGGGTACACAGAGACCAGACCATCTCGGCTCTCTGCCACTAAGTTCCTTGTATTAATTAAACCATTCCTTTTCCCGGCTTCAGCGATCTTATTGTGCATCAGCACGTTGTTCTGCTCGACCAAGCCATCCATACTGGGAGGTGTCTGAGGGCTTGGGATGGGTGGTCTTTATTTTGTTGAACCTTACAGACGGGTCACACCGGGGCAGTGGCTCCCATCTTCCTGATGAAGAAAGGAAACAGATACCAAGGTGAGGACACAGGCAACGAATAAACACCAAGGCACACAAATCAGCTTGTCTTCTCCCCCACCCCATGGGGATATACAGGCTTATGTATGCACACACCCTGCCTTAGCTCTCCAAACATATCACCACTTGGCGAGGCAAAAAAAACCCAGCTGAAGGAAAAAACAGCAGGTGGTGCTCTTCAAATCAATTGAAAAACCACCACCTGAAGGCAAGATCAGATCCCACCCAGGGGAATTGAAACTCCTCTGGAAGGGGGTCTCTAATTCCCTGAGTTGCTCTGTATGCCCTGCTTTTTCTGATGCCTCCAAGGCTGCCCCAGGGTGACAGATTGAAAGGCTGCAATGGGGCTTGTCAGCGTGACCGTCCCCATCCAGATTCACCTGGAAGACATGGAGGCACAGTTGCTCGAGCACCAGGAGATGGTTGTCTCCTATCTCTGCTCAGAGGAGCAGCAGCCACCCTCTGTCCCACCAGACCACCAGCCTGGTTCTCGCCTGTGTGGACCACACTACAGCGTGGGAAATCAAAGGGACAGTTCAGGAGGCTAAAAGTACTTTTTTTAAAGCCCAAATGCTCTCTCACCAGGACACCAGTTTTGCTGAGGTGCAGCCAAAGGAAAATGCTTTTTGAAATACAAATGTGACCGCCACAGCAACAATGAGCTCAGGGTTTTGTTTCTGGGCCTGACCATAGAAAGCACAGAAATGCTCCCGGCTTCAAAGACCTTCATAGTAGATCCTCCAAGGCCAAATTCTTAAATTATGATTACCTGTCCCCAGGTGTGCTGCCTGGAGGAAAACAAGAATAACACACACACACACACATGTTATTTTTACTTGATGCTTTCTCTCTATTTCCCTTTTATATCAGAGATCCTCTAACACAGCAAAGGCTAGCAAAAGCCTAATTTCACTCCCTCTGAAGAACTCCAGCCTTCAAACATCTGCACTTCTCCTTTTGGCCTGCAAGAAATAGTTAAGCCATCGCTAAGAGCTGGTCTCCTGTTCTTAAGCTACAAATGAAGCAAGGAACTTGTTTGACATACAAGGGAGATTCACAAAGTACGCTGCCATGTTTGCATTCATAGCACTTGGTTTAACACCTAGAAAAAACCCATTTTGTTGTGTTATCAAATAGTTCGACGCTTCTCTGAAGGGAACTGGCAGGAGAGCTACACAAGCGAAAATCCACCACAGTGGGATCCCATGGAATTTACAGGACACAGCTCTCAGCCCCAGACCTGGGGAACCTGCTGGGAAGATTAGCAGGTCCAGAGAGATGATTCTTCCACTTTACTCTGCTCTGGTGAGACCTCACCTGGAGTATTGTGTGCAGGTCTGGAGCCCTCAGTATAGGAAAGATATGGACCTGATGGAGCGGGTCCAGAAGAGGGCCACGAGGATGATCAGGGGGTTGGAGCACCTCTGCTACAAGGACAGGCTGAGGGAGCTGGGGTTGTTCAGCCTGGAGAAGAGGAGGCTCGGGGGAGACCTAATAGTGGCCTTCCAGTACCTGAAGGCTGGGGAGAACCTGTTTACAAAGGCCTGTAGTGACAGGATGAAGGGAAATGGCTTTAAACTTGAGGGGAGCAGATCTAGGTTGGAGATTAGGAGAAAGTTCTTTACTGTGAGGGTGGTGGAGCACTGGAACAGGTTGCCCAGGGAGGTGGTTGAGGCCCCATTCCTGGAGATATTCAAGGTGAGGCTCAACGAGGCCCTGGGCAACCTGGTCTAGTTGGGGGTGTCCCTGCTGACTGTGGGGGGGTCATAGTAGATGACCTTTGGAGGCCCCTTCCGGCCTGGACCATTCTATGATTCTATGATTATGCCAATCTTCAGGTTGGCTTGGAAGCTTGGACTTGGTTTCACCAAAGGATGAAGTCCCAAAGCCCTCAGTTCCTTTGGAGCAGGTAAAAGCTGAGAGCAGGTGCCCTGCCTTTCCAAGGAAAACCCATTTCCGTACGCAGCTATGCCTGTGCTAAATGAAGAGAAGATCATGCCCTCTTCCTGCTCCCGGTGAGGTGACACCATCCTGTGTTGGCACAGGCACATTGGTGCAAGGTGGAGCTGCTTTTGGAGAAACAAGTGATCTTCAGCAGGTGAGAGCAGTGGGGAACCCAAGGTTTGCCTTAGGACTGGTGCTTGCAGCATGACAGTCTTCTATCCACTGCTCCCCACTGAGTGCTGGCTGCTTGCAGGACCTCCTGCTGGCTGCTAAACTGTCCTGATTTTGCTGTTTAGGAGCCTTCAGAGGCCATGTCCCCCACCCAGCCACAACCTCAGCTAGGGAACACGAGGTGTTTTACCCAGGTTGGGTGGGACCACTTTGGAGATCATTCTGCTGTGTCTCCAGCTTTCCCACAAAGCTCCCCCTTCTTCCTCCCACCCCTCCCAAAGAAACTAGATGAAAATACACCACCACCAGAGGCAGAAACTGAGAAAAACTCAGCAATTAAAAGAGTAAATTGTAATGAGACTTGGTTCAGTTCCCCACCGGTTCCCTGAAAAAAAGTGCAAGGCTCCGTGATGTGTGACACCAACCATCAACCCCACTGAAGTCCGAATGGTAACCTGTCTCAGAAGAACCCTTAGCCCCATGATTTGTCCAAGCAAGCTGAGGTGGTCAGTAGAAATACACCACAGGTGTAGTAGAACTTAGAAAGATGTGCAAATCAAACTGATCCCTCCCCTCACCCCCGAAAAATGGATGGGGAGGTCAACAGTTGGTCGCTGCCTCAACGCTTGGATCAGGCCTTGCACCTCCACCCTGTCACATCATTCCAACAAATGGGTGTTATCTGGCTTGAGCAGCACTAGGGAAAATGCCTTTTTAAGGCAGCTTTATCTCATGCCTCTGAGCCACGCTGTCAGATTCCCTTCACGCTGTCTCTGCAACTGGCCTATCATGCAGATGACACTTGCCTCTGGAAACACAGGTCTCACCCCAGGCATTCCTCTGACAACTGCACTGTCTTCATGGAAAATGTCGGCTTTCAGTGGGTGCAAATGAGGCTCTACAGGCATGGTGACACCAGAGGTAGCAGGCTGGTACACGTTCCTCGTGCAGCTTTAGGTGGTCATATTGAAAGGGATGGATTATGAGGAAGGGTCCCATCTCTTTAAAGTTGATTTGCATGGGGACTCTCCAAAATCATGGGAAATGAAAACCACCCTTCAGTTCCTCTCACACTCTTCAGGAGCAGAGGAGAAAAATAAACAGAGGCCACAGGGGAAAATGCTTCAGTACACCTAAGTGTCCTGAGACCCAGGAGCACTTCAGAATGTCACTGGGATGTTGGTGTTGTCAGGAGTGACATCCCTTGCTCCTAAATGCTCATCAGCCTATGTGACACAGGAGCCAAGCTGATTAAAAGGGAGCCCGAGACTCAACAACAATTGGAGAAGTGATTTTGGCTCCAAAGTTTCTGGAGTGCCAACAGATAAGGTTCTGCAAAAGACCTAAACCATGACAGCTTTGGTACGGTATGGCTGGTGTCTCTACCATCCCAAAGGACTGAGAACAGCTACATTACAGGCTGAAACATCCTTCCTAATCACCCACACCAGCAAAGTGTTAGCACACCCCATAGAATGGCTTCAGCCTATACCTTCTCCCAGACAGTACCTCCCCTGCACCAAGTGCCATGCATGCTCCTGAGAAGCTCCAAAGAAGTCCAAAAACCACCTCACTTGAGCAGGCAGGAATGTTTAGTGGCATGGACACAATTGATGTTGGACCATACAGCCTGTAGGTGACAGGATGGATCCTGGTATGTCTCACTAGACAGGAGGGAGCCCATGGAGCTGCTCAGTCCTACCATGGATCCAAGCATCTACCTGGCCAGTGCTTACCTGCCATGCATTTAAACCAGTCTTGTAAACCAATCTTGCAGATTCTGAGTGACACTTTCCCCTCGGGAGGGAGGAGGGGGGAGAAGAAAACATCCAAAATGAGGCAAGGACAAGACAGGGAGCAACCTTCCAACACAGAGCTCCTCCAGTAGTAGGACTAATGCATCACTCAAGACATCCTCTCCAGAGTCCCACGAAGTGGTGCCTTGGGGAAGGTCAGCAGAGAGAGACGGGGATGGCAGCAGGCAATCAAGGAAAACTGTTTAACCCTAACAACGTTTCACCCTGTAGCTGGCTGGCAACCTTACCAGAGCCTGACCTGATGTTCTTGGCCCTGCAAGTGTAGTGCTTCATGGTCGGGAGCTGGCGAGACTCTTATGCCTTTTCATTATAATATCTTAACAGAAAAAAAAAAAATAATAATTATAATAATAATCAGGTGGCATTGATTTTTCTTTTCCAGGTGAAATTCCTGAGTGGCTGGCCATTAGGTTTAAATCAATAGCACCTTGATTGCCAGTGCATTTTGATGCATAGCTGAAACAAGGTCAATTGCTGTCTGGGGAAACTGAGAGACAGTTGAGGTACCCAGAGATTCTTCATCAATTAAAAGGCAGGCTTAAGAGTGTTGGCAGCCACAAATGAAATTTCACATCCTCGTGGATGGAAGAGAACCTCCCCTGGGCTTTCCTCTTCCCAGTCACTGGCTGAAGGGAGTTAAATCAGATTTCCAAGGCCTTTGTAACCTGCTGCTACCCTGGTGTTGGTGGGAGAATTAGACTCAAAGGCTGGACTTCATTTCACCTACTGCAGACATTTGAGGGTGTTTCTTGGGAGAAATTAATTGCAGTTATGCAAGGTGCACAGGTCTGTTGGGCTCAGTTTCCCTCTGGAGTCACAACATGTGTGTAAAATACAGGGGAGACCGTCTCAGCTTAATACCAACCTTCAGGTGAGTGAAGCAACGGTCAGGGGCACGTGGCCATGAGTGATGCTCGGGGCCAAAAGGCAGCAAGTGCTTATGCAGTGGTCCAGAGGCTGTGTCCTGCCCTCAGGGACTCCTTGGAGGTGGACTTAGTCACCATCCTTTCATTAAGGGCTTTCACTGACCTGACCC